CCCCCCCCCCCCCCCCCCCCCCCAGCATGATTGCCATTTTGGCAGCAGGAACTCCTCTCCCACCTGCTGTGGCCAGGCTGAGAGCACCTCTCAGACTCCACTGTGGCTGGGCCCGGACTGGCTCCTGGATGCTGCCACCATGGCCCGGCCCGAAGCATTTCTCAGACACCGTAGGGGTGGCAGGGCCCAGAGTGGCTCTAGGACTCCATCGCTGCCAAGCCGGCAGAAGAATGGAGGTAAGTTCCCAGCCTCAGGGTTGCCGTCTCACTCCTTAGACGCTGCTGGGGAGAGATGGGGCTACCAAAGGCAGCCGCTGTTGTATGCATGTGCAGAGAGGTTTGGGGTTTTTTTTGGGGGGGGGTTTAAAAACCTGCCATCGTTTTGTGAAAGTTACTAGGTTTTTTTTTTCCTGCAAACCTGGGTGGTGCCCCAAGTTTGCACGAAAATCTTCATTCTCTCCACTTGGCCCCAAACCACGGGAACCAAGCATCCACAGATGGAGCCTGGTTGAGAATTGGATATACAGATGATGGTTAAGGAACTGGCTCCTCCAACAACTACTGAAAGGATGACATTAGATACAATGCTAGAAATCCATGGTCTGGTTTTAAAATGTAAGTAGAAGCTTGCCGAGGGGTGGGGGGTAGGATTTGAATGGGAAGCCCACGGTGGGAAAGGGTGTTAACTTCCCTCCCCCATTAACTCGCAGAGGAAAAAAAGGTCACCCCATTTCTGCGCGTTTCTTTTCCCCCTTTGATGGCTAACCGGAGCACAAGGGAGAGGGGTCCATTTCAATTGGCAAAACTGCACAGAGGGGCAAATACCCCCCCACACACACACACACAAACACACACTCCATTCCCACTCCGGATCAAGTCTCTGCACAGTTTATACGGTACAATATTTTTAAAACGCTGAGAGGACCCCATCATGCAATTCCCAGCATGTCAGCTGTTTAGACCCTAAATTACCACTGTGCTACATTCATGTCTCCATCGGCATGTAGGAAGTTCTGGGTGGATTCCTGGGGGAAAAAATGCAAGCTGAAGTCTTTAGAGCAGAATGTCTGTAAATCTGTTAACTTCTCTATTTTCCCACCCTCTGTTTACAGTTAGATTGCTGCGGCGCAAGTACCTTCACAGCTGCAGTTTCTTACCTGACTGGTGAAAACTTGTGCCCGGAGAAGAGCCTCACAAAGATGATTACCGTAAGGAAGCCTCCGTATTGTCCGCCCATTTGTCTAGGGTGCACGCACTTTGCCTAGTCAGCGAGATTTCAGAGGACTGGTCATCTTTGGACTGCGTTTTTAATTGTATAAATTAATTCTAATGAAGAGACTTCTCTGAAACAGTCTCTCTGCACCATTCCCGACCCTTCTAGGAATAAACTACAGACATCGTATTGAAAGAGAAATTGCAAAGGGTTTGTTGTTCATGATATGCAGGAGCTCATTAGCATAACTCATTAGCATAACTCGTTTGCATATACCACACCCCCTGACATCACCGGAAGTGTGTCAGAAGGCAACACCCACCGTTCAGGCTCCACTGGACTGTTTTGGATTACTAGCTGTTGGGGGGGGGGGCGTGCAGATCTGTCCTCGCAGAGGAGGGAGAGCTTGTACCTGAATACAACTTGGTCTTAAAGGTGCCATTGGACTGTCTTGGGCCAGGGGGCCAGAGGGGCTCTGCAATTTACCTGGCTGCTTCTTGCTCTGACTGAGGGCTGCTGAGAGCAGGGGGTGGAGCTTGTTGAATGTGCCCACCCCTTGGGCTCTTTACTGCCAGGCTTTCGCATAGGGGCCGCCGCTGCCACCACCACCAATGGTGGCGATGCCATCGGGATTAGGAATCGCCCTTGGAAGTTCCGCCATAAATTGCATGGCACTGACAATGTGGGATTGGCTTGAACTATCTACTGGACAGTGTCACCCTAATGGGAGAGGATTCGAGGATGCCATCAAAACCACTCAAGACCCTCTTGTTTACAGAAAGCACTCTATTATTGTATTGTTATTATTATTCATGGTTTTATTGTCTTACCTGGTTTTATGTATGGGCTCATGCCCCTTGTAAGCCGCCCTGAGCCCGCTAGTGGGGAGGGCGTGGTAAAAAAAAAAGCCTAAATAAATAAATAAAAGATCATGTCTACATTGGCCCCCAAATGTGTTTTTATGCAGGAAAAGGTCCAGTGTCAGAACTGGATTTAGACATTAGAGTTAGAACAGGGGAGGATCTGCGCAGTGTTTCAAGAAGATGGGGAAAGGAAGCCACGAGAGAAGCACAAGTGATATATTGATGCTTCAAGGTCCATTTTTGACTGCCTTGCGCTCATCCTTCTGTCGGCTGCTGTTATACAAGTAGCCTGACTGAGTGAGCGGCTTCTACTGTACCCTCAACCATCAGGATGGCTATATTAATAGTGGGGGATAGGGTGTTGATCTGCTACATGCTTTTTGTTCACTGCAGGTGCAAGACTGTCACGCTAGAATTGATGACCTGTTCTCTGGAAAGCTGTACCTGATCGGTATTGCTGCCATTGTGGTGGCTGTGATCATGGTAAGTTTGTTTTTTGGATGGGGACGGGGGAGAACTTCCAGTTCAATGAGCTGTGAGTCTCTTCCGAAAACCTGGACTGATAACCCCGTTCCATGTGCAGCGTGTTTGTGGGGCTCACAGGTAAGGCATCGGCGATTACAGAGGTGGAAAGTGATTAACAGGATGCGTCGCTAAGGACCGAACTAGACGTTTGCTTCTCTAGGCAAGAGCAGCTTTGTCCTTCCTTCCCTCTGCTGAGCTTCTGAACAGCGAAGGAGAAAAATGGAAGCCCCTGAGTGTGCATGGGCATAGGCCTTGGATATTCTGGGCCCCTCTGCCTACCCAAAGACGGAGAAGCATCGCTTTAAACTTCTGATCTTTCTGATGGATTCTTAATCTGGGTAGTAACCTGCCAAAGCAAGAATTTGATAGAAGTCTGGTTCCATAGTGTTAAATTATTTTTCTGGCTACCATACCCGTTGTATCAACTTGGTTATGTATTTTATATTATATTATACTGGGGAAAAGGCCTATTGTGGAAATAAATACAACGGCCTCTAGAAAGAGGCTCTGGGCGGGTGCCCCGGCCTTGGACACTCAGTGTCAATTTGCTGTGGCGACCTCAGCAGGGTATAATGACACTGAGTCCACCATTTTCTCCAGATGAACTGATCTCTGCTACCTAAAGAACAGTTGTAATTTTTAGTGATCTCCAGCCCTCACCTGGAGATTGGCAGCGATGGTTCCCCAGAAGGGAATCGTTGGTTTGGAGGGTGGAGTCTATGGCTTTGTACCTGTCCAAGGTCCCACGCCTCCTGAAACCTCACCCTCTCCAGGCTTCTCCAGGAATTTCCCCCCTGGAGTTGGCAACCCTATCTCCTTCCCAGCCAATCATCAACCTACCTTTATTTCCTCCTCACTCTTCAGCTTTCCACCCCCCACACACCTGCAGCCTTTCCCGTGCTCTGAAGCCCTGACTGCTACGTCACATTGGCTGTCATACGGGAGCCACCTCAGTAGCTTATAAGGATACACCCACCATTTTCTCCAGGGGAACTGATCTCTGCCATCTGGCAAGCAGTTGTAATTCTGAGTGATCTCCAGCCTTCACCTGGACACATTTTACCTCAGAACAGCAAACTGTTTAGAATGTTAGAGGCAAAAGCCAATCAAGTCGCATATGCAAACGACCTCTGTGTTCCGAGGCAAAGGCCAATGAGGCTGCATATGCAAATAACCTCTGTGTTCTGACTGGCTGGGGGGGGGGAGAGGAACAGCAAAAAGTTTAGAATGTTGGAGGCAGGACTCAGGCAAAGCAGCCAGTGGATAGGGAGACCCTCTGAATGACAGATCAGAGAGCGAACTGATTTTGGAGCGTGTGGAATGTTTTAGAGAAGTGCCACCACCATTCGGCTTTTATTTATAAGGGAGGTGTTTATTCTTGTATTACAGTACTCGTTAACCAAAAAAAGATACTGATGTATAAATTGTTTGTATTATCTTGAATAGAAAGTTTATTATAACAAAATAAAAAGGAAATGCAACTTGAGTCTGATATCCCTGTGTTCCCTTTCCCCTGCAGATCTTTGAAATGATCCTGAGCATGGTACTGTGCTGTGGCATCAGAAGCTCTGTCTATTGAGAAGTTGAAGGACAGGGGCAGAGCAATGGTGCCGAAGGGACCCCAAAGTGCCACTGTTCGACCAGGAGATGCTTCCAATGAAAGACAAAGAAAATTATGTATATAAATATTTCAGATATTACCATACAGTACTTATCATTCTTACTTGGAAGTCTTTTTTACGTGTTTGTGGGGGGGGGGAGTTTTCTGTGTGTTTGTGGTGGAGTTAGTTTCACATCAGTTTGTGTCTGTCGGAAAGCCGCCACACCAGTAGTTCCAGACCTTCTATCAAAGATGGCCGTTCTCTCCCCCCTGCCTTTTGCCACTGTTCCTGTTTTCCTAGCAAGGAACGATAGGGTGCCATTCACAGGTTTTAACCTCTTAGAAGGAATACAAATGCCTTTGTGTCTTTATTCCCCCCAGTATTGGGGAGGGGTTGTTTTTTTTCAGCCCCAGATATGTTTTATGCAATAAAAGGTTCAAGGTCAGAATTGGTTTTGTACATTAGAGTTAGAAGAAGGGAGGATCTGTGGAGCTTTTCAGGGAGATGGGGGAAAGAAGCCCCTCCATGTCGGAAGAGAAGAACAAGTGAACTATCAGTGCTTCAAGGTCCGTATTGTACTGCATTCACTCATCATTCTATCAGCTGCTGTATACAAGTAGCTCGACTGAGTGAGAGGTGCCAGCATTTTCTTTCCCACCATTTCCTACCTTGCTTATAAACTATGCTTGGTCTATTTCTGAGAGTCTGTGGGAGTACAGCAGTCCCTTGATGCAAGGTGCTGTTTTCCAGTCATGCGGTTTGCCAGTATTCCTGTCCTCCAATGATGAATGAAGAGACTTATTTCATAAACTCTGTAACTGTATTCGTTGTGGTCAATGCAATCCTTAGAGCACTTTGTTGGTAGTAAGCCCCATTAAATACTTGTGTAGGTTTCTGATTCAATAGAAGTCGTCGGGCTTCAAAATGCACAGCTCTGCTTAGGATTGCGTTGTTAGTTGCCTAGTGTCACCTAAATATACATGAAGACCAAATTGCAGTTCTTAAAACATCCGTTCCTGTCCAGAGATGCCTTTTTTTTATATAACTTTTGGATTTCGTTCCTGATCTGGTCTATTTTTGTCCTTTTAAATTGCTCAGAAAAATTAGAGAGAAAAAATTAACAGGTCTGATACTGGAATGTTAACGCTTTCTGTATGCACTCCTAAAACTAAACTCCGGTGTATGCTTACAAAATCAGTTCTGAAATGCAAGTACTGTTTGATGTCATTTACTTGGTAACTATGTAGTATTCTAATGATGCCAAAAATATTGAGGAAATCAGTTAAATAGTTATAATGGCTGGAAAATTATTCATTAAATATGCATTTTTTAAGGACACACCTATTCTTTTGCTTTTTTTAAAAAAAAACACAAACTCGGGGCAGTGGAGCTGGATAATGGGCAACCACATATATAGGAGAATGGCACTGTGTACCGAATTGGGAAGATGTATAGCTAGAAGGCCGCACACTTTTAGGCAAAGCCGTTTCTCAAATCCTTGCCTACCAGTACCAGAGGTGCAAAGATTGTAGCACTTTTGTGGTTTCACTTCAAGTGACCATTCAAGGCATTTCATTCTCCTGTGACCAAGCTGAGATGTTGATAGCAGTTCTCCCACCCTCAAAAAAGCTTATAAAACATGTTGGGTTGGGAGGAAAAGACCTGCTGTGCTACCTGGGTTCCACTAACCTCGTCTCTATTGCACAGTGGCCATATTCACATGAGAGTTTAGTGCTTACTTGTGATTGTTTGTTTGTTTCATACAGGATTAACTACCACTCAGACTAGTTTTGTAAAAGCAATCCCATTTAGTAGTCCAGTTTCTAAGTTTGCATGCTTTGCTGTTGCTCTTACTCAGGGGTCATTTCGTAGAAAAAGAGGTGCAGGCGCTCATTAGCATAACTCATTAGCGTAACTTATTTGCGTATGCCACACCCCCTGACATCACCGGAAGTGTGTCAGAAGGCAACACCCACTGCTCAGGCTCCACTGGACTGTTTTGGATTGCTAGCTATTGGGGGAGGGAAACGTGCAGATCTGTCCTTGCAGAGGAGGGAGAGCTTGTACCTGAATAAAACTTGGTCTTAAAGTTGCCACTGGACTGTTTTGGGCTGGGGGGTCAGGGGGGGGGTTCTGCAACTTACCTGGCTGCTTCTTGCTCTGACTGAGGGCTGCTGGGAGCAGGGGGTGGGGCTCGTTCCATGTGCCCGCCCCCTGGGCTCTTTACTGCCGGAGCACCGATACTGGATTCCAATAGACATACACAGTGCTGCAATATCCCAGCACTAGCTCTCATTCAGAAGAACCCAGCTCATATGGACTTTCTAGAACTAGGTGCACTTTTCTAAATACAGCAATAGGAGCAAAGTGAGAATATACCCTTAAGGTCCTGAAGATACTTCAGAACACTGAATGAAAGGGATAAACGGATCAGGTTTTCCCCCATTTGAGCTTTCAACTAACATGGGCTTTTCTACATCCTTAAAAAAGAACCCAGGTCAAATCATGGTGCCCCAAAGAAGCAGTGTCTCAGTCTTGCTGGTTTGAGGGAGAAAGAATGACTTCTTTAGCCTTAGGAACAGCCTTAAAGAACCCTGAATGTCAGACTTCACAATGCACTGGAAACAGGAATTGCTTCTTCCAATCGACCTCTCTTCAAGGATTTGGGATCACATGCTGAATATAATAGGCACAATTTTAAAATATCATTAGACAGGGGTCATTTCGTATAAAAAGATGTGCAGGAGCTCATTAGCATAACTTATGAGCATAACTTATTTGCATATCTCACACCCCCTGACATTACTGGAAGTGTGTCAGAAGGCAACACCCACCGCTCAGGCTCCACTGGACTGTTTTGGATTGCTAGCTATTGGGGGGGGGAGTGCAGATCTGTCCTTGCAGAGGAGGGAGAGCTTGTACCTAAATAAAACTTGGTCTTAAAGGTGCCACTGGACTGTTTTGGATTGCTAGCTATGGGGGGGGGGGACATGCAGATCTGCCCTCACAGAGGAGGGAGAGCTTGTACCTGAAGGCAGGCCGGGGGGGGGGGGCTCTGCAATTTACCTGGCTGCTTCTTGCTTCTCGTGGCCCGACTGAGGGCTGCTGGGAGCAGGGGCGGGGCTCGTTGCATGTGCCCACCCCCTGAGCTCCTTACCGCCGGAGCTGCGCTCCTGCAGGAAATGACCCCTGGTTGGACTTCTGAAGCTTACTGTTTCATGGCAGGAGGGCGAGGAAGCAATGACAGAGAACTGTCTTGGAAGGCAGGCAAAGGAGGAGCATAGTTGATGCTCTGTACGGGGCTGAGCAGCAAATTACAGAAGACTGGCGTGAAGGAGATCTTACGGTAAGGCCAAACAGAGCTGCAGGTCACATTGGGCTGAACACTTCGGATTGTTTTATACTGTGGAGCATGCCACAAGCTATAAGTATGTGTTAATTACTATTTCTTCTCTGCCTTTTCATCACTTTTTTAAATTTTTAATAAACATTTCTCCTAGTGTATTGTGTGATGAAGCCCTATGTTTCTTATACATACAGTAAACCATGGCATCTGAATGCTTTACCCACTAAGTCACCATAGCATGGGCAAAGCCAGCCTTGGAAATGGAAAATAAATGGAGCATAACTTCAAAGCCAAGGGGGAAGAGTGAGGAGACCCTTGAAAAGTTGCTGAAATTGACTAATTGCATCCTGCTCCGGGGCAGAGGAAGATCATTAATTCCAAAACAGATGAGGCTTAAGTTAGGGAGAATGAACTCCTGAAATGCAATCAATAAGCCTAACAAGCAGGGGACCTGCAACTTGCAAGACCTTGGGGGGGGGGGGCTGTCATTTCTCCCTATATCTTGTTCCCCACTATTTCCTCT